CCAGTAAGGGGCGGGCCCGGCGAGGGCGGAGCCTGCAGCGTGTGGTCCGGCTCGGTCACCCGAGACGGTTCTCACAGTTATTTTGATTGCCTCCTACAGGTCGGTGTCCGGAAGGCACGGAACAAAACCGCGTGCGAAACAAACTAAAGCGGCTTATTGCTAAGAGACCGCCTTTGCAAAGTCTGCAGGAGCGGGGTCTGCTCCGAGGTAAGGTGGGCTGGGCTAAGTGGAGCTCTGCTTCTCCTGCTTGTGTTTCTGCAAACACTTTTCTGTTCCTGATCTGGGCATCCGCCTGTTTCATGGATGAGAAAATTCCAGGAAAGCTCAGAGTAGACCTTCCCAGAACTGCTAGATCACAGTCTTTTAGGACCCCTGCTTATCCCACTACTCAAGATTGTTTCGGGGTGGGAGACGTGTCCCTCCACGCCCAGGCCTGGCAGAAGCAGTCAGGAAGGCCAGCCCCACCTCGGGGCGAAGACCTGCACTGGCGAGAGCTTACCTAAGTGATGCCAGCGCTGCCTCCCACTTCTCTCTGCCTCTCCAGACCAGGTGTTTGGCTGCCAGTTGGAATCATTGTGCCAGCGGGAAGGGGACACCGTGCCCAGCTTCGTGCGGCTCTGCATTGCTGCTGTGGATAAAAGAGGTGGTTTTCTCAGAGACCTCAGAATCTCCCTTTTCAACAGGCCTACAATTTTCCCTTCCTTCCCGTTCTAGTCCTTCTACTGCTCTTTTCCTCACCATCCTTAGACCCTCGCCACACACCCTTCAGAGCAGGAGACCTTATCTGCTCCCTGCCTCCCCTCTTAGGTCTAGATGTGGATGGCATTTACCGGGTGAGCGGGAACTTGGCGGTGGTCCAGAAACTCCGCTTTCTCGTGGACAGAGGTGAGAAGGCTTGTTGTGGACAAGCAGTGGTGCTAAGAACTTCATGCCTCAGAAGCCTGGAAGTTTCAAGGGAGGAGCTGGCGGGCCAGGGAGGCCTTCTGGCTGGCACTGCATGCCTTACTTATGCACGCTGATCTCTCCTGATCTCTCCTTATGCGCGGTGCAGAGCGGGCCATCACCTCCGATGGGAGGTATGTGTTTCCAGAGCAGCCAGGACAAGGTACTTCACAGAAGGTCCTGGGACCCTGAAACTTCCCCATACCCTTCTTGCTCCCATGTACTACCCGGCCTACCACCCCAGGAGGGTTGTCTCCATCCCCACCTTTGCTGTCTTGTTGCACTGCGGACCCCTCTAGGCATTCCGGTGGTCTGCCCTGATGGGATTTCTCTAGAACTCTGTCTCCAGTCTTTTATGAATCCTGAACCACTCCCCCCCACCTTCTTCTCCCTTCAGAAGGCCGATTAGATTTGGATAGTGCTGAGTGGGATGACATTCACGTGGTCACTGGAGCCCTGAAGCTTTTTCTCCGGGAGCTGCCTCAGCCTCTGGTGCCCCCACAGCTGCTGCCCCATTTTCGTGCTGCCCTTGGTAAGTGTCGAGAGCTTTGGGAAACACCCTTGATATGGGGTACATGGGTTCTAATGAATAGAACACAGGTTTCCTTCCCTTAAACTTTTCTGTCCCATTCTGGCCCTATAAATGGAAAATAACTTTCTTTTTTTTTCCTTTTAAAATTTATTTATTGGGGGCTGGCAGATCGCATGGTGGTTAAAGGTGCTGGATTCCCACATGGCTGACTGTGGTTTGAGTCCTTGGACCTGGTGGGCTTGCTTTCTCACTGTCCCTTTCTCTGTCTCAGGTCAAATTAAAAATAATAATACTAGTAATACAAGTGGGATTAAATAAATTAATTAATTTAAAATAATTTTTTATGACCTGATGGTTGAGGTGCTGGATTCCCAAATGGATGACTGTGGTTCAATCCCGGATCTGGTGGCTTGTGGTCTCACTTTCCCTTTCTCTCTGGTCAAATTAAAAAATAATGTGAACAAATAAAATAAATAAGTAAATAATTCCTTTAAATTATTTATTTAATTTTATTTTTTAATATTATTTTTTAATTTGGTGTAGGGCACACACGCTCGCCAGAGAGAGAGAGACAGTGAGAAAGCAAGCTGCCACGTTCAGGACTCAAACTGCAGTCGGCCGTGTAGGAGTCCAGCATCTCAACCACCACGCCACTTGTTGGACCCAGAAAATAACTTTCAACTCATGTGCCAACTTGTGCTTTTTGGTGGGCTGAGTTGATAAGAATTCTGCGACTGCAGTTGAGCCATATGAAAGAAGAAATCTGTGGGGGCCAGCAGGTGGCATGGTAGTTAAGGCGCTGGACTTCCACATGGCCAACCATGGTTTGAGTCACAGGCTCGATGGCTTGATAAATCATGCCAGGGGCCTGTATATATGTGCATCCCCAAAGTCCTGCGAGGAAAATGGAGGAGAAGGGATCGTGGTGTGACCATTGCTCCCGGGGAGTGATTTCTCACTTTCCCTCTGTCGGTTTCCCTGGTGAGCACACATGACCTATGGCAAAAACCTAAAAAAAAAATAAAAAGAAAGAAAGAAAGAAAGAGAAAGCTGTGATAGGTGAATGATATCTTCCACAGGCATGAGAAAGAGTAGTGAATTTACCCACCCTGTCCTCGTACCTTCCCTGACCTCACTCCCATGCCCTTCCCATCTCTCTCGCTCTAGCACTCTCTGCGTCAGAACAGCGCCTCTCTCAAATACAAGAATTAATAGACTCAATGCCAAAGCCTAACCATGACACTCTACGGTATATCCTGGAACATTTATGCAGGTCAGGACATTTTTGTTTATGCTTCGGGAGGGGGATGGAGTGGGGCATGCAGCCGGGACTCTATTCAGGTGGGTGAAGGTAGGGAGACAGGCAGTCTCTGTGCAGCAGTAATACCAGGATCAAAGCCTTTGGATAGTTCAGCATCTAATAGGGAAATGGGACCAAGATAGGCCTGGGGGGCCAGCAGTTAGTGTGTTGGTTAAGGTGCTCATTCCCACATGGCTAACCATGGTTCAAGTCCCAAACCTGGTGGCTTGAAAATCATGTCAGGTACATGTGCAACCATGTCCAAAACCCTGAGAGAAGAATGGAGAAGGGACTGTAATACAGCCATCCTTGCTGGGGGCGGTGATTTCTCACTTTTCCTCTCTCTGTCTCTCTAGTGAGTACATGCACCCCAAGGCAAAAACCTAAAAAGGAAAAAGATAGGCCTAGAGATGCTAGGAGAGAAATAAGGCAAGTCTTCCCTCTGCCTTTGTCTCTTGTTGAGGCAGCAATGGTGGCTTCTTTGCTGAGCTGGGCCTGGCCAATGACTTCTGAGAAGGGATGGCCATCTAAGTGAAAGCCCTCCAAATTGTGAGCAGAAAGCACTCCAGGGGCAGCCGCTGGAGCTGGGAAGAGGCAGTTGTAGCCCAGGCTTTACATTTAGGTGGAACCCTGATGGCTTCCCCATTCCTTCTCCATTCACCTGGTTTCTTTGAGCCGCCACATGGAAGGACCCCAGAGTAAACTTTCCTGCTCAGACTTTTGAAGGATTAGATTCATTCAATGTGGCAAGCTGCTGCCTTAAACCCCCTTCCCTTGGCCTTTGCCCACAGGGTGATAGCACACTCAGATAAGAACCGCATGACTCCCCACAACCTGGGAATTGTCTTTGGACCAACCTTGTTCCGGCCGGAGCAGGAGACGTCCGATCCAGCAGCCCATGCCCTCTATCCCGGGCAGCTAGTCCAGCTCATGCTCACCAACTTCACCAGCCTCTTCCCCTGACTCAGGCCAGGATGAAAACTTATTTCCAATGATCTCTGTTGGGAACCCTTCGGTGGTAGAGTATTGTTTTGAGGACATCTCTTTAAATCCTTTGTCTCTCAAATGGCTGTCTCCCATCTTCATGAGTCTGATGGGTTGGGATGGGGTGAGGGAGCTTCTCAGAAGAGGTAAGTGGGAGTTTAAGCCCTGCTTCTTTTCTCGTTCCTTATTATCATCCTTCCCCAAGATAACTCGTAAAGCAGTTCTTTCTGATGTAGTTCCTTTATTGTCAGGGAACAGTCATTACCAATCTCCTCCCCAAACACATACAGTCTATATACAGCTCCTGGTCCATACCTCCCATCCCTGGGGCATCTTATGCAGGGGCTGGGCTCCTCCCCAACTTCTCTGGAGTGATAGAAACCCCTTTTGAAAGGTGGATCTGTGAAAGATGAGATGTCCCTCTTTAGACACTAGAGTTGAGGAATTGTGTCTCCCCAGGCAGAGATCCCAGTAAGACACTCATGTTGCCCACAGCCATGTTGGGGGGTCCAGGAGGAGGTGGGGTGTGTTCAGAACTGCTCCCCTGATCATGGGAAGGGGGAGGACTCAGCCCCTGGGCCTCATCCAGAATAGCCACAAAGTCCAGCTGAGTGTTGTCAAGATCGAGAGAGTCCAGAGGGTTACACACTTGCCCTTCAGGAGGAGGGTACAAGGCAGGACCCGCTCCGGGCCTGCCTACCTCGGGATGGCCACAGCTGGGGTTGGTGCCCCCTGCCTTGAGAGGCCCATAGCAAGCAGGCAGGGGGGGCAGAAGTCGAGGAGCTGCAGCTGCTCTGTGGGGAGCCCTGTTTGTCCCCACTGCAAAATTTTCATGGCATGGTGAAGGGGTGGGATAAGAGCCTGATTTATGATTGGGCAAGTTGGGTGCAAAGCCAGGTCCATATGTGGCTACTGGGGCCTTGGTGGGACTTGGGCTAACCTGGGAACCTCCCAGAAACTTGGGACTCTGGTAGGATTCCTGAACTGGGGCATCTCCTCTGTCTCCACCCTCCCACAGCAACTCCTGTTGAGACTGAAGGTAATTACACACAAGCTGAGCCTTGAGCTGTCCTGGAGAATGAGCATGGGAATCAAAATCCAGGCCAGGCCTGGGCTCTGAAGGAAGATAGTCAGGGGGTGGCTGGGTATAGGGGCCTGACTGAGGATATTGGGGTGGGGGCTGCGAGTAGTGGGAGAAGAGAGGCTGTGGGCGCGGGAGCCCCTCACTGGGCTGAGCATTGAGGCAGGGTGCCAGTCCTGTGGAGTCAGACCCCACCAGGCACCCCTGTTCTGGCTTGACTTGCACTTGTCCATAATGTTCAAGTCGAGGGCATTGGCTGTAGGTTCCACCTGGAGCCTTGGGGCCTGGGTATGGCCCGGTGTGGGAAGGGAACTCAACCCATGTTTCTGGGGTGGGGTCAGGATAGGAGACTGGCTGAGGACCGGGGTTGGGGGTATAGTCAGTGGGTGGACCAGGCCCAAGAGGCAGGGAGCCTGGACCCCTAGTTCCATAAGGCTCAGTCGCTGCCCCTTCAGATACCCCATAGCCCAGAGTGTCAGCAGGTGGAAAATCCATATAGGGGTTCAGACCACTGCCCATCATGGAGGTCCCAACCACCGGCTCCTCCCGTAGTCCTCTAGTATCCATGGCTACATTCTCAGTGATGCTGGGGGGCTGTGGTGAATAGACAGAGGCTGGGAGGTGGGGATCGAAGTTCCGCCCTCCTCCTGCCACAGCGGGAGGTGTGTGGACACAGCCCAGGCTCTTGAACCGCTGGACTCTGGCTGGAGCAGGACGGTCAGCAACCCGAGCTGGGTCACTGGCCCTCCGAGTGACTCCCGCGTTGGGGTTGTAGCCTGGATACTCAGCTCGGCTTCTCCAAGGAGGTGCAGGGAGGCCCCCCATTCGATCCAAGCTGGGTGCTGCTGTAGGTGGGGTACCACACCCCCTGGCTGAAGCGTATCTTGTTCGGAGCAGGTAGTGCTGGGCAGGTGTGAGGCCAGGAAGGGAGGATGCCCCATTCTCTGGTGGGGAGCCAGGGGGGAATGGTGAGGCCAGAGAGGAGCGGCGGCTGACAGTGTAGGCAGAGCTGATGCTGCTGGAGCTGCTGCTGCGGCGGTCAAGAGAGACTGGAGGGCCCACACGGCGAGTTATGGGGGTGCCTGCAAGTGATGAGAGAAAAGGCAGGGAGGTCAGAGAGCCCCTGAATCTCACCTCCCCAATGGATGCCTTGTCCTGGTCCCAGCGACAGGCTCCTTAACTCTAAACACTCAGTTCTGTTTCCTGTGCTTGTTCAGCCTCTGGGTCACCGAGAGTTCTGGACTGCTGTGAACAGTCACATAGGTTGTACACAGCACAAACCCAAGGGGCAGCGGTCACGTCGTCCAGTTTGTATATTTGCATATCATAACCGTTTTCGAATACACGGAAGGAAAGTGTCTTGGGGAATAACTTTTTCTGGTTGTATGAAAATGCCATCTGGGTGACCCCCTCCAACCTCAGGGCAGGTCTAGCCCACCACCCGGCAATACCTCCCACACCTAGCTCTCACCAGTGTGGGTCAAGCTGGGCAGTTTGAGACCCCGGGGGCCTAGTGGCCGGAGTTGATGCAGCTGGTCCAGCCTGAGGTTCTCAAGGCGGCGAAGAGTGGACAGACCAGTGCCAGCAATGCAAGACCCCTCGTCCAAGCTGGACAGGTCCTCGGTGCTGCCCCCAGCATTGCCAGTCATTTCAACACCACTGTCCGTATTGGCCGCGCTGCCTGCTGGGGAGTGGTCACTGCTGCAGGACGACTGGGCCCCAGGGCTCGGCTGTGGCTTCTGTGGGGAAGATGAAGGCTGAAGGCTATAGCTCCCTTGACTAGGTGGGTCAAGACATGGCTGAAGCCATGTCCCAGGGACTGCTAGGGCTAATGGGAGGCTGACCAGTATAGAGAGCTGGGCAAGAGAGAGGCTAGGGGCAAATTGAAGAGATGTGATGAGAGAGACCTGGGCTGGAGCAGACTGTTTGTGCTCAAAGTCTTGCTGTTTGTTCTGTGACTTTGGGCCATTTCTCCATGTCTGATTTTCCTCATGGAAAAACAGGGAGGGTAAATCCCTTCCTCTCGAAGTTGCTGTGAGGAATACATGAAATTCTATGTGTACAAGGCTTAGAACAATATACCAAGTGCTACTTAGGAAAGTTTGTTAGGCCAAACGTTGTAAAGATGGCTGGATCCCACATGGTCGATAGTGTGGTTTGAGTCTTGGATCTGGCAGCTTGAAAACACACTGGGGACGTGTGCATGGACGCCCAAAATCTCAAGAAAAGAATGAGAAGGGAGGGAACCAGCAGTTATCGTAATGGCTATGTCGCTCGACTCCCACGTAGTCGACTGCAGTTCG